CTTGTCTGCAGCCCCCAGCCCCCACCGCTCCGGACCCCCAGCGCTCAGCACCCCCAGGCCCCGCAGCCCCGCGCTACTCACCGGCGGCTCCCGTAGCCGCTGCCCGGGGAGCCGGCGCCCGGCTCGGGGTAGCCGTGCTGCTGCAGGGCTGCGGCCGGGAAGGGGTACAGGAAGCCGGTGGCCAGCGCCGACCCGCAGAGGCAGCAGCACGCCCAGGGCAGGAGGAGAGCCAGCTTCATCTTGCGCGGCCGCCCGCGGGGACCCGCAGCCCGGGCGGGGGGAGGACAGGCGGGAGCGCACCCGCGGCCGGACCGAACCCGCGGCCCCCGCCGGGAGCACAGAGAGGCAGCCGGCGAGCGAGCGGAGCCCGGCCAGGAGTTGGAAGTTTCTGGGGGGCGCCCACGCCTCACCAGGGCCGCCTTTTCAAATTCGGCGAGGTGGGCTCTGCGCCGTCAAAGGGGGCGTGGGGCTTTTTCATTAACCCTCGGCGGTCCGCGGCCGAGGAGGCGCCAGTGGCTGCAGAGCTGGGGGTCCGGGAGCCGCGCGTGCCGGGAAAGCCAGACCTTGCTCCTGCGTCCTCGCGCACACACTCTCTAGAACCTTCCCAACCAAGCCCTGTTCGGGCCCGCAAACGGTCGTGGGGCACCCACTCCATGCCTGGCAGTTTCCCCTGGGCCAAGTTGCCCTCTGTATTAGGCGGCGCCGTTCCCATTTTTCAGAGGTGGAAACCGAGGCTCACAAGAATTAAGCCGAAAAATAACGCGGTCCTGGTCCAGGGCCCTTTGGATCAAACTATTGCACACCCAGCCTGCCCTAGAATCCTCTTCCCGTTCACCTCCACCCTCTACCTCGACAGCTATTTCTCCAAGGTGAGCTGTAGCACAGAACGGGGAAAGCGCAGGATTTGGGGTGAGAAGTTGTTTCTGGAATCACCAATTCGTGAGGCATCGGATCTGGAAGGTAGCTGGGGGGTGTGGCGGGGAGATCTAATACCATCCTACCTCCCACCTTTTACAGATGGACAAGCTGAGCCCACCAGCCTGGCCCAGGTTGGTCTTTTCTGGGCTGCAGGATACCCACAGCACTGTACCTCATGAGGGTTGGGCCCTGAAATCCAGCTTATGCCCCACTCCCCAGGTTGGGAGTCTTTCTAATTCTCCCGCCAGAGCATCCTAGGGGCTGGCAGAGGCCCTGAGACTACCTCTGGCCCTGTTCACAGTGGGGAACTCCTAGTCTGTAAAATGTCTGTAAATCTGGAGAGAAGCCATCCAATATGGAAGTGCTTAATGGGTTGCAATACATTTTGTAAGAGAATCGTGGGATTGTTTTTAGAGGATGCTGTTAGGAAGGTGGACGGAAAGGCCCACTCCTGTGGCTTTTGCCCTCTTGCTTACATATCCCGTTGGTACCCCCTTGAGTATATATCCCAAAATATCATATCCAACCCGCTTCACCCTCTCCCCCAAACTACCCCCTCTTTCTCCACTCAGTTCCCTCAAATCCTGCCGAGGCCTTCTCAACGGCATGCCCACACTTCCCAAGTCCTGAGTCTCTGAACAGGACTCAGGATGGGTGATGAGTCCATCTCAGAGTGGGCAGCCCATAATGGGAAGTGTCACTTGGACCTGGGATGACTTCCTTTTCATCTTACCCTCCATCCCTCTCTCAAGACTTAAAAGATTTGGAGAATTTGGGGTATCAGGGGAATTTCAGGGCCTTCCCCAAAACTGATCTGTGCTCCCTGGACAGTTGGCTAACTCCCAGTAAGTGATGAGGTCATTCCCCATCTCCCAGGAATCTGTAAACATTCTGTCTTTCTTCTTCCTCTCCTTTACTTTCAGAATGAGACAAGAGAAATTCCATGTGATTGTAAATGACTTTTATACTGCAGGGGTGACAGGAAGAGAACAAGATTTTTTTTTTTTTTAAGAATTTCCTTTTTATCTTAAAGTCATTTTTTTCCAGGGCCACAGGCTGCACCCCAACTAGAGGGACCTAGGAGAGGACAGGATACCACTACTCCGTATTCTGCAGGATTCTTTTAGGATGAAAAGCTGTAGGAAAAGAATTAATTCATCCCAGCAGCTTCAGGACTGGGGCAGTTGTCTGAGGTTGGTCCTTCCCTTCATATCCAGAACAAGAAAGTTCATTCCGGCCCCATGACCGCGAAGCAGTCAACTTCTTGTGTCCCATGCCGTGCTGTATGCAGTGAAGGCTAATAGAGAAACAGGTAACACGGTTGTCCCCTCCAGGGCGCTTGCGCTATTCTTTAGGAAGGCTTTAAAGTGGCAAAAGGCAAGCAGCAGTTTGGACACATGCTCTGCGCACAAGAAGTTCCATTTAGGTGGTAAGGGATAAAAAGACAAAGATGCATACAATCAAGAAAAGAAATATGATGTCTCCCACCCCAGCCAGACCCAGAAGCCCCAGGGTCCCCCGCTGGCTCCCCCACTAACTTGCTGATGACCTGGAGTAGACTCCCCTCTCTGGTCCCCCCCGACCCCAAGCGCCTTTATCTGTAAAGTGAAAAGTGGATTGGCTTGTCTCTGAAGATCTTTCCAGTTCTGGTCTTCAGTAACTCACTTTTCCCTTCATCCTCCACTCCTCTCTCCAAGGCAGCTGTGGATATACCCAAACTTATCAAGCTGTCACTCCTGAAGGCAAGATTTTCAGCTGCTGCATCCCCTCCCCAGCAGCAGGGCCCTGGGAGCCAAGAAGAATGGAGAAGGGTTCGAGGCATCACACTCTAAACTCCCCGCCCCCCGACACCAGTGAGTAGAGTCCAGCTCCAACAAGTACCAGCTGTGTGACCTTGGACAAGTTACCTAACCTCTCTGAGCATCCTCATCTGTAAAATCAATAATAGTAACAGCACCTAATGCATGGGTTTGCTAAAAGAATTTAATGAATTATTCACATGAAGTGCCTGGATGCTGCGGGTAACACCTTATAATGCTCAATAAATGTTAATTATGATAATTTGCAAGGCTTTGGTGAGGGATAAAACTGAAGAACACCACCCTTCTCAAACCCCCAGGGTAGGGCTGATCAGGAGGCTCATATCCCAGAGTGTGCAGAGCTTTCTCAGATGACTCTTGGAGCCCCGGGATAAACCCATTATGTCTTGTTCTGTGGTCAACAATTTAAAACAAAACTTTATTTTAGAACACATAGGGGAGGGGCACCTGGATGGCTCAGTCGGTAAGACATCCGACTCTTGATCTCAGGGTTGTGAGTTCAAGCCCCACGTTGGGCAAGGAGCCTGCTTAAAAAATAAATAAATAAATAAAAATTTTCAAAATAAAACAAATATGGGGATGTTATTGTGTAGAATGTGCAGTTTGTGTTATTTTTTTAGATAAAACATACTTGCGGTGGGTGGCAACAGTGGGAAGGTGTGAGCACCCCCAAAATAAAGGACCAGGCAGTACCGTTAGAACTGAGTGGTCCTCAAGCATAGAATTGATTGGCTGGCCTTGTCTGCGTGTCACCAAGCACTAGTCTCGATATTCCACAGCCGTGCCTGTGGCACGCCCCAAATACACAAAGAGGGATCAGATTTCTTGGTGGAAGGAGACTACCCCCCCCACACACACACACATACACACTTGACTAGGGGGATCCTCCGCAACTCTGTTACCGGGCCTTTCTGATAAGAAAATATCAGTCGGCATCCTTTTCCGCAGACAAAAAGCAGATCTTCTGTTCTGCCGGAGTCAGCAGAATGAGCCACTGAGCAGAGAAGTAAATACTCATCAAGCTGAAGCCAAGGTAAATATTGACCTTCTGGCATGATAAATCCTCCTGTTAATCTAAAACAGAAATCTCCCCCTCCCCCCGAGTGCCCTATTGGACATGGATTCTGCAGCCCCACCCCCCACACACGAGAAGTTTAGGGAGGCAATGTAGGCTTTCACACTGATTTCTCAGGCAGCCCATAATCCCAGCTGTTCCGGATCCCAGGGCAGCACAGAAATGGGCTGTGTTGACTCAAGGTAGCGGGATGGTCACAGTAGAAGGGCTTCTTTGTTCTGGCCAAGGTTTCTGTCCGTGGCCAGGCCAGAACGTGAGCAAAACATAGTTATTCTGGAAGCTTTGAACCCTGAATTTTTCTTTCCCCGTACATCCCCCTCCCCAGGCATCCAGCCAGGCTCTATAAAAGGGGTCACTTCTTTGCCCAGCAGACCTGCAGGTGTAAGCCTACCCGTTTCCCCAAAGAAATAGATGTTCAGAAGACAGCAAATTGGATGCCTATCACAAGAGCCCATGATCCCAAACAGAGGTTTGAAAGGAGAACAAACCAAAAAAAAGGGTCGAAAATAAAACCTAAAAAACACCAAAAAATAAGGAGTCTGCCCAGTCGCCAACACCGAAAACTCAACTCGTGTGGTGATCAGTTTGCTCCCTAATGTAGCCACAACTCAAACAGTGCTTCCCAAAGAGCTTATCGAGATGGCTCTGTGATATAGAAAGGGGATGCCTTGGTGGGCTCCATCCGCTGCTATAACAGAATACCATAGACTAGGGGGCTTATAAACAACAGAAATTTATTTCTTACCGTTCTGGGAGCTGGAAGTCCAAGATCAAGGTGCTGATAGACTTGGTGTCAGGGGAGGGACGCTCCCCGGTTCATGCATTGCCATCTTCCCTGCTGTGTCCTCACATGGCAGAGGCGACAAGGAGCCCGCTGGGGCCTCTTTTTATGAGGACACTACTCCTGTTCGGGGAGGGCTCCACCCTCGTGAGACAAGCACCTCCCAAAGGCCCCACCTCCTAATACGATGGCACTAGGGGTGAGGATCTCACCGAATGAATTGGGGTTGGGGGGACACAAACATACAGTCCATTGCAGGGGACTGAAATTATAAAAGGAGAAAGAGGCAACACCCAGGAGAGTGCTGATCATACCAGCATTACCCTGGCCCAGGTATGAAGACGGTGGGGTGTTCAGACACGATGATTCCGCATCATGATGTGCCTCCCACAAGTGCCCAAGCTGAGGGTCTGTGATGGGGAGCTTTGCCCAGGGCGGGTAAGAGTGGCCTCCGGAGGGATGCTGGACTTGGAGGAAGGAAGACCAGCAGGAAGTGATCCAGATCTCCCAAGCCATGCGGGGAAACAGAATTAAACGTGTTCTTTGAGCCTCAAGGAGGAATTGGAGGCCAATGGATGGGCAAGGTCAGTTGAACATGAGGAAGAACTTTGTGAGTCAGGTGAGTAAGTGGAGACTGATTCAGGGCATCTAATGGATGGAGGAATTTCCCCCAAATGGGCCTGAGTAAATCTGGGGGATGTACTAGTGCTCACCAACGTCTGGATCTGCTGTCCTCCCTCACCAGCACCCCTGCAGCCGGGCAGGGCCATGTGACTAGCTCTAGCCAGTAGGCTTGAGCAGAAGGGACCACACCACTTCTGGGCAAAGAGAGATGAGGGGGTATGGCTTCGTGCAAAGGGGCCCTTGGCCCTGCAGAGGTGGTTAGAAAATTATCTCCGACAGGCAAGATTGCACCTTCTGGTGCCTGTCCATCTACCTCTTTGCAGGATCTCGGTCACG